TTTTTTTTTTTTTTTTTGGAAGAGTTGTGAAAGCTGGATGTTAATTCTTTTTAAAGTTTTAGTGGAATTCTCCAGTGAAGCCATCTGGTCCTAGGATATTCTTTGTGAGAAGTTTTCTGATTACTTTTTATAGGTCTAGTCATATTTCCTATTCGTCCTGGGTCAGTTTCAGTGGTTTGTTTATTTTTAGTAATTAGTCAAGTTTATGTAGGTTATCTAATTTATTGAAATACTATTCTTGTACATTATTGTACATTGTTGATAGTATTTAGTTATAATTGCTTTCACAACTAGAGCATTCTGCATAACAAAGACCTACTTTTCAGGGGAAAAAGATTTTACCAAAGCTTTATCCACAGTAGGAGAAGGGTATCTCTCCAACTCCAGGCCCCTCCAGTCTTCCTCTTACCTAAGGCAAAAGAAAACTGTGAAACCATTGTGATGGGCAAATTCCAGGGACACAGGCCAACTAAAAGACTGAGATTTTATCATAAATTTATAGAACATTTCCCCTTACCAGCACCTTACTATTATACCAACAGGGCTTCAGTATTAAAACAGTGCATTATAGCTGAAAGAGCTGCAAGAAAGATTCTATCTGAGAAGGCGTTTTAGGGAAACTCAAAGACAAAAGGGGAGACAAAATAAAGCATTACAGGATATTAAATCTGTGCCATCTACAGCTATAGCAAACATTATCAGCTCAACTCTTAGCCAGATTAACATAAAACATCACACTAAAATTCCATTTACTTCAGTTCCTGTTATTTGAGAGATCATGACTGGCTTTCAACAAAAATATACAAGTCATACTAAAAGACAAGAAAAACAGTCTGAATGAATTAAAAAAGGCATCAGGACCAAAATGATATAGCACAGGTTTTGGAATTATTAGACAGAGTATTTAAAAAAAATGTGACTGATATGTTAAGAGCTCTAATGTAAAAAGTAGATAACATACCAGAAGAGAATGATAATGTAAGCCGATAGAGGGAAACTCTAGGAAGAAACCAAGATTATGTTAGAACCAAAAACATTGGAACATAAGTGAAGAACACTTTTGATGGACTCATCAGTAGACTGGACACGACTGAAGGAAGAATGAATGAGCTTAAAAATATGTCAGTAGGAACTTACCAAACTGAAATGCAAAGAGGAAAAAAGAATGAAAACTGCAGAAGATCCAAAAACCATGGGACAATTTCAAATAATGTTACATATGCGTTACAGGAGTACGTGAAGAAAAGGGGGAATGGTGCAGAAGAAAATTTTAAAGTAAAAAGGGACAAAGGTTTTCCAAAATTAATGACAGAAATGAAATCAAAGATCCGTAAACTCAGGGAATGCCAAGCAGGATAAATAATTGAAAAAACTATACCTACACCTAGACATATCACATTTAAACTGCAGAAATACAAAAATAAAAAGAAATTATCTAAAGCATGCAAAGAAAAATAAGACCTTACCTAGAGAGGAACAAGAATAAGAATTATATTGAACTTTTTGTCAGAAACCAAGCAATCAAGACAAAGTGAAGTAATTAAAATGTTTTTTATAAAGCACACCTTGAATTTTATATTTAAATAAATTGTTCCTCCAAAGTGAAGGAGAATTAAAGACTTTTGAGACAAAAGCTGACAAATGCAATCAACAATAGACCTCCCTTGTGAGGCATGTTTAAGGAACTTTTTGTTTAAGAGACAAGGAAAATAATACGGGCCAGTAACTTAGATCTGTACTAAGAAAGGAGGAACATTGAAGAAAGAATAAATGAAAGTAAAATAAAATATTTTATTTCTCTTACTCCTCAATGATATAATAGAAAATTGTTGAAATTAATAGTAGTAACGATTTAATGGGTGAGGATATCATATGTCATGGTGAATTTTAAGTGTCAATTTGACTGGATTAAGGATACCAGATGGGTGGTAAGGCATTATTTCTGGGTGTGTCTCTGAGGGTATTCCTAGGACAAATTGGTATTTAAATCAATGTACTAAGTAATATTAATTGAATCACTTAATATTTTCAGATTGTAGTTGACCATGGATAACTGAAACTGTGGAAAGAGAAACCACAGATAAGGGGAGACACTACTTTACTGCCATAGAGGGAGGGGGAAATATTGCAATAGGGAAAATGCAGAGACTGTGGATCTGCAGGCATCTTAAGGCTTTTATACACAAGAGTAAACAAGGCTAGCGACATTTTGTGTTGGCATTTCTGTATATGTATCTACATTTGGCAGATTTTTTGCAATACCAAAGTATTTAAATTTCTTAAAATAGTTATCCATTTCCACCACTGCCTTTTAACTTAATATATTTTTTTCAGAAAAGCTTATACCATTAAAATTTTTGTTATTAATTTGACATACTTTAACATCTTAAAATTTTGAAATTTTAGTATTTTAGATGTTTTTCCAGAATTGTAAGGTTTATAAATATTTTCATGAAAAATATATTTATTTCAGTGCAAGTTAACCTTTTTGTTTTCTTTAACACAGAATTGTCCGTGAGGGTACAGACGAGGAGTTTTTTTTTTTTTTTCCTTTTTGTCTTTTTTACTGACCGGTAATGGGATCACAACCCTCGGTGTTGCGCCCGCACCGAGCTCAGCCAGTGAGCGGGAACCGGTCTCCACATGGGATCTGAACCCTCGGCGGGAGCACCGCCGCGCTCCCAAGCGGCGCACTCTCCAGTGCGCCACCGGGCCGGCCTGAACGAGAAGTTTTTTTGCTGATTTTGTTCCCGCTTCTATTTTTAGTGCCTAAAACAGTACCTGCCCTAAAGAAAGTACACAATACATATTTATGAAGTGAATCAATAAATAAATTATTTAAATATTTGGGATTAGAAAAACAATGGTGACCATTACTTATTCTTTTGCTGGAAAAGTAAAAATCTATTAACCTATGTTTTTCTCCTTCAATATTTTTAATTTGGAGATACACGTACTTCTGTTTTATTTTGTTGTATTTTATTTTTTAGTATTCCTAATTTGAAAATGAAGTCAGGATTTAAATTTTAGAAGGCTATTGAGAGGTTTGTGGGGAAGATGTCACTAGACTAGGTTGAACGAGAGTGTGTTAAAAAGGTTAACCTGACTAGGGAGTTTGGGAAGTTCATATGTTTATTGGACTTCACATTCTCTTATTTTTTGGAAAACATTAAAATTCTTTTGATTGAGTCATTGAAGGCTTGTTTGACTTGCTTGTTCCTCAGTGTGTAAATGAAGGGGTTCAGCATGGGAGCGAAGGAAGTAGTGAGGACTGTCACTCCCTTGTTAATGGACACCTCTTCCTTCGCTGAAGGCTTGATGTAGATGAAAATGCAGCTGCCATAGGTGATGGAAACCACAATCATGTGGGAAGAACAAGTGGAAAAGGCTTTTTTCTTTTGCTGGGAGGAAGGGAATCCTAAAATTGTTTTGATGATATAAATGTAGGACAGAACTACACACGTCAATGTCACAATGAGTGTCAGCACAGCACAGATGATAACAGTCTGTTCCATGAACCAAGTATTTGAACAAGAGATCTTCAGGAGGGGAGATGCATCACAGATAAAATGATCAATGATATCAGAATCACAAAATTCCAGATTTAGGCCCAGGCTAAGTGGTGGGATTATAATAAACAGGCCAGCTACCCAACAACAAAAGACAAGTCTCCTGCAGACTCTGCTGTTCATGATGGTCACATAATGCAGGGGTCTGCAGATAGCCACGTAGCGGTCATAGGACATGGAGGCCAGGAGAAAAAATTCAGTTACACCAAAGAGATCAGTAAAAAATACTTGGCTGGCACAGGCATTATAAGTAATCATCTTATCACCTGTTGCTATGTTATACAAGTATCTGGGAATACATGCAGATGTGAATGAGATCTCCAAGAAAGCGAAATTTTGTAGGAAATAGTACATAGCTGTTTTCAGGTGAGAATCCATTAAGATGAGAGAGATGATAGTCAGGTTCCCAGTTATGCTCAGCATGTAGGTGAGAAGGAGAAAAATAAAAATCAGAACCTGCAGCTGTTGGTCGTCTGTCAGTCCCAGGAGAATGAATGTTGTTACTGTGTGGTTCCTCATTGCTAATTTCTGACTTCTGTTAGATCTGCATGCAACATTCAGAGACATTCAGTATATATTATTTTAGCAGTATTAAATCAAACACATTCAGGTTTTTCTTATACATTATGATTTTTTAAATTTTACACAATTTTTTTCCTGAGTCTACTCATTTATTTTCTTCTTTTTACATGAAATTTTAGTGTCCTAAAGATCTTCCTGCTTCTAGAAACATGTGGCATGCAACTTTGGACAAACACAGGACTCTATTTGGTTAAAAATGTTTGTCATTTTCGCACCATACCTTATAGATAAAATGTTCAGATTCTGATCATGGAACAGAATTTACCATGGTTATGGTTCAAATGTCAAAACTGAAAGAAATGCCACCTCATCAGAGAGGTCTTTCTAGACCGCCCATCTAAAACAGGTACCCTCCCATATCATTCTCTCTCTCTCTCTTTCAAAAAAATGTACACAAATTTTATTTACCATTTAAGGAAAATGAAATTAGGCACTGTATCAAGGGATGCAAAGGTAAGCAAACTGAAAATAAGATGATATAGTGCCGGGGACTGGGAAAACTGGGGCAGCCAGCTCTGTCTCAAGAGAACAGCATGAAATTTTACACTTTAAATTCACACTCTACAAAAGGATTACTTTCAGCTCCTATGGGCCTGTCATTTCATGGGGAGCAAAGTGTCCTTTGACTTTCTAAAATTCTCTGATGCATTTGTTTGACATGTTGTTCCTTCCTAAAGTGCTAATATGTCAGGCAACTTGAGTTCACTATGCACACACTGTAGTCACTTGAAGTCTCTGTTCTAGCTCTATGATTAAAAAATTTTATTTTCTGCTTTTGTTTATTGCACATGCATGTTTTCTCCCCTGAACACCTCTAAACTTTAGCATGCATACGTGCACACACATACACACACGCACATACACACAACTTCCCTGGCTTCCCTCCTGACACTGCCTCCTTTTTAGGTTTTTGTGCCCCTAGGTATTCACATATAATCCACAGTGGTGCATAATACAGAACGTTTTAATGCACAATTTAGTTATACTTATACATAGTATATTATGTTTTCATGAAATGCTCTAGTTTTTGTGCCCCTAGGTATTCACATATAATCCACAGTGGTGCATAATACAGAATGTTTTAATGCACAATTTAGTTATACTTATACATAGTATATTATGTTTTCATGAAATGCTCTAATAAACTTCAAAGATACTCCCGATGCTATGTTTCTCTGGCCCTTCTATTTGTTAGTTTTTTTCTTCCAGCACATGCTATTTCAATTTACTTTTTGGCTTATATAGAACAATCTTAACCTAGAGACTAAACATTAAAAAAAAAGAACATGGAAAATGATTTAAGACATAAAATAAGAATTACGACATAACCAAGGACATTTAGACAAGCACGCATCATTCATCAAATTTGGAAGGGCAGTTGCATATTCGGTTAGATACATGGCTCTTCTAGTTGTTATGAGGTCATGAGAGCCTCAGTTTGAAATGTTTTTGTTTTTATGTCACTGAAAAAAATTACCAAATCTGTTAATGCTTTCTTTATCCCTTTTCACTTCTCACCAGACTCATATCCCCTCTGTATTTTTATCAATTCCTATGTTTGGAAATATTATCTTTCAGATGCTCATTACTAAATCTGCCTCTTTATTTTGCAATGGCTCTTCATAATTCTCAGATGCAGCTTGACATTTCTATTTCAGCATTTCACATGAACTTCAAATTCACCTCACGAGTAAAACTCACCACGTTCCACATCTCTCATGGAGATGTTTCTTCTCTTAATATGTTTCTTTCGATAAAAATAATAGACTACATTTATTGAGCATATTCCATGTGACAAGTATTTTAGTAAACGCTTTCCACATGACGTCTGTTTTCTGTTCTCATCTCACCTGGATAACTTCTATTTTTCCTTAGTTTTCAACTTCAGTTTTAAGCCTTTTGGAAAGTTTCCTGCAGATCTGATGACTATGCCACCTGTAATCCCCATCACCATACTTGCATAGGTAACGATGCTTGCTACCATATTGACATTTAGGAAAAAATACTCATTTGTGGGAATCATGAGATTTTGTCTTTTTCACCATAATAGCCCATTGCAAGTAACATAGTCTCAGGTACATTTTTAAATGTCCAACAAATGTTTCTAAGAGCATTTATTTATAGCGTTTTTATCAATCAGGCAACTACAAAGCTATTTTTTTTCTATTTGAACTCCTAATTCAAAGTGCTTTGATATTAACTTTGTTTAATTTTTTTTATGCCATTGAACCTGTTGAATCTTTTTTCTTTTGCTTTTAGAAAGGATCAACTGTTCTGCTATTGTTTATTAACTTTGAGGCTGATAACAGAGAAACTGCCTTCTTTTAGTCAGATCTTCTGGTATAATTCCTTCCTCCAACCTCCCTGTAATCTCTCAGGCAATCCAGGCATCACATCATTGAGTAGACATACTTAGCCCTATCACCACTGGACATCATTCAATGCTGCAAAATGATCTTTTTCTTTCCTTCTAAGGAATTACAAAGTATAATAAAAGAAGATTTAAAAAATGACTCATGGTGAAATGAGACTAATGTTTTTTGTTTATTCTACTTTTAAAATATATGTTTGAAATGAGGACAGGATCTCTAATGAAATGACAACTTCAGCCAATTTGTCATTCTTTTGGGGGATTGTGGGGTATGCTTACATAATTATCTCATATATATCTTAGTTTTTTATGTGAGGTTGAAAATAAAGGTAATATATTTCTGGATAACTATCGAATTTTAACATTAAATGCCAACATATTTTTGCATATAAGAACCTCCCAGAAAATAATATTTATATATCCAAAAGAAATCATATTGTGAAAATGAAAAAATGGACATTTTACCAAATATAGAAGTTATCACTCAAATTTCTGATTTTTAAGAGCTTAGGTAAATCATGCTTTTTTTCCCAGAGCATAATAAATCTCAGATCACACAAAAGTAAATATAAATAAAAGGAGAAACTTTATGTCACTTACTATTATGACTGTCAATCATAGTTTCTATTGAAATGCAGAAAGTCTTAAAACTCCTAAATTGAAAGCGGTAATTAATATGAAGATTTTTTTATAAACTTCTGGTCCCCTTTGCTTATGAATCTACTGTCACATTCATGACAACCCTAGGATGCACAGACCTTTCCGAAGTATCCATCTTTAACCAAATACTTGGATTGTCGTGTTGCATTATGATAACTCCCTCAAAAATACATTATAATGTAAAGGCTGTGGAACATCAAGAATTTTCTCCAGTTTCAGAATAGTTGCTACTCTGACGTCTCAGGGCAGAAAGCACATTTGCTATATCCAGCTTAACATTTGCTTTATTTGATAAAAATACAACTAAATGAATAAACAGAGTCCCTAGTGACCCACAAACAAAGTCAGTATGGAATCTTCTGAGTAATAAAATTTGCAGTTAAGAAAAGTATGCTAATTATGGTTTCTCTGGAGACAGTGTCCTTGGAGACAGGGAGGATGCAGCAGCAGATAAAGGCCAGTAGGACAACAGAAGAATCTGATTTTAACATAAAAAACAACTTTAGATTCTTTTCAATGTCACAACACATAAACCGAGATCCAGTGTATGGGAGGATCATAAAGAAACCACATTTATTTGTTTGTTACACGAATTACTTGTCATATTTTGGAAATTTTAATTAGACAAGCAAAATAGGAAAATATGTAAAAACACATAATCCATGCCGCATGCATTACAGTGTATACACTTTCGGACTTTTTCTATAAACATATCAATATATTTATAAGTACTATTTAAAAATAAACATTAATAGCATCATCTATATAGTTGGATATATAGCATCAAATGTTTTAAATCTTCTAAATATATTCTAAATTAATATACATGAAATTATACACATGAATAATTTATTGTAATTAATCTATTTTCAATATCTCAATATTCTATCAAATTTTAAAATCAGTTTACTATAAATTCATGTACTTTAAAATTTTCCACCTCATGAGTTAAGGCCCACAGGGAAAAAGAAAAGAAAATTTTCTACCAGTACTAAAACTGCTCTTGAAATATGTTACCAATGTATAACTGAGTGAGGACTAAAGCAAATTTAGATTTACTTCCATTATCATACGTAAAAATATGAGAATAGGGCATTTTACTAAAAAAAAATTTCACACTTGCTAGAATGATTGCCAGAAGTCTATTTTTGGGTCAAATTATGTTATTTTTTAGTTTTAATAAGTAGATAATAACTGCATATTTTCTCCATAACAATTATAAGTATTTTAAAGTATTCCTTAATTTTAGGAGATTGCAAGTAGAATTTTTTTTCCAGTTTTTGTTTTATATTTACATAAAGTTTAGAGAAATCAAACAAATCATAATTATAATTCTTAATGAAGTTTATAGGTGAATATGTTGGTATAATTATGATCTAAATGAAGATAGAGAGCATTTTTATCACTTAAAACATTTTGCTATTCTCTTTTTTTAAGTGCCACCCTCCACAGAAATAAGTACTAATTTTACTTCTATTACCAATTATTTTTGCCTTTTTTTTACCTATATAAATGGAATCCTACAGTATGTACTCTTAATTGTCTAGATTATTTAATTCAAATTAATGTCTTTGAGATTTATCCACAGCTTTTTGTTCATAACTAGTGTATTCTTTTTAATTGCCACATAGCTTTCCATTACATAACATATGTTTTCATTTATTCTAATGATGATGCTACTTTCCTTGTTTTCATTTTTGTTTGGCAATTAAATAATGTTGTTGAGAACATTCTTGTACATGAGGTTTTGTGAATATACATGCATGGTTTTTTTCTTGGAATAAACCGTAGAAGTGGAAATTTGGAATCATATCATAGGCATATATTTAACATTCATAGTATGGCCAAAATGTAGTTAAGCCAATTTATCCTCTATCAGCAGTTTATCAGAGATGGAGTTGCTTCA